TGCTAAGACCCAGTCTCTGAAAGGATACTCTGTATAATGCACTGGTAGCTTTAGAGATTTGGTAAAGCTAGTGAAAATGTTGTCTTCAGAAAGATTCAGGAATGAAGTGTACGCTGCTGTGCGACTCACGCTTTGCGCAGTTTTCCAGACTGGAGACTTTTGTTTGCTTTCATGCAGCCTGTATTTATTATTTAAATGATGAATCTGGAATATTTCCCAGATCTAATATCTGCCCCATTACTTTCTGTCTTGGATACTGAAGATAAAAATCAGACAAGCAAATCTATGCAGTGGGACAGAACTACTTATCTTTTTTTTTTCTTTGTCAGACAACTTGTGAGTGATTTTTCTTTTCCTTCACCCCCCTAAAATATCTAACAGATTGAAAAAATTGAAATCTGCCTGGCAAATACCCCGTCCTGCACGTGTGCCCCCAGTAATGCATCTCCGGCAATACCAGGGGAGTGTATTTGTGAAGAAGATGGTGTGAAATGATCCCCTGCGCGGATGCCTAAGGGGTTTTCGGTTGGGTGGAGGGAGGGAGGTAGCATGGGTTTTTTGGTTTGTTGATGGCATGGTTTGTCAGCTTGGCTTTCGCCAACGTGGTACATGAGCCCTCCCTGCCCCCTCCAGCCCCCTATAAAACCCCAAACTTGCCTCTTTGTGCCTGATGAGGTGTCGTGACAAACATGGGGGAGCGGGAGCTAATCGAGCGGGGACGAGAAGGATGGGCATAAGATCTGCAAGGGAGAAGTCCCGGGATTAGTTCTCCTGCTCGTGAGCCAGTTTGCTCAGTTGTCTCGTTCCTGCTTTGCCTTGAGCGATGCAGGAGGCGCGGAGGCGGCGGCGATGGGTCAGCCGTGGCCGTGAGCGCCGGGACGGGGTGCAGAGCTCGCCTTGGCTCCACGGTGGCCGCTTGAACGCGTCCGCGTCCCTTCTTCCCCCGGGCATCTGGGCTGAGGTTATGTCGTTCCCCGCCGATCCTTTCCCCCTCTTCCCTA